TTATTGAAGATTTTTGCATCAGTGTTCATCCTGGATATTGGCCTGTAGTTTTCTTTTTTAGTTGTGTCTCTGCCAGATTTTGGTATCAAGATGATGTTGGTCTTGTAGAGTTAGGCAGGATTCCCTGTTTTTGCATTGTTTGGAATAGTTTCAACAGGCATGGTACCAGCTCCTCTTTGTATGTCTGGTAGAATTCAGCTGTGAACCTGTCTGGACCTGGACTTTTCTTGGTCAGTAGGCTATTAATTGCTGCCTGAACTTCAGACCTTCTTATTGGTCTATTCAGGGTTTCAGCTTCTTCTTGGCTTAGTCTTAGGAGTGTGTAAGTGTCCAGGAATTTATCCATTTCTTCCAGATTTATTGGTTTATGTGCATAGAGTTGTTTGTAGTAATCTCTGATGGTTGTTTGTATCTCCAAGGAATCAGTGGTGATCTCTCCTTTATCGTTTTTTATTGCATCAATTCGATTCTTCTCTCTTTTCTTTTTCCTTAGTCTAGCTAGCAGTCTGTCTATTTTGTTCATCATTTCAAAAAACCAGCTCCTGGATTTATTGATTTTTTGAAGGGTTTTTTGTGTCTCTATCTCCTTCAGTTCTGCTCTGATCTTAGTTATTTCTAATCTCTGCTTGCTTTTGAGTTTTTTTGATCTTGCTCCTCCAGTTCTTTCAATTTTGATGATAGGGTGTCGATTTTAGATCTTTCCTTGTTTCTCATGTGGGCATTTACTGCTATAAATTTCCCTCTAGATACTACTTTAAATATGTCCCATATGATCTGGTACATTGTGTCTTCATTCTTTTTGGTTTCAAAGAACATTTTTATTTCTGCCTTCATTTCATTGTTTATCCATTGGTCATTCAGCAGCAAGTTGTTCAGTTTCCATATGATTGTGTGGTTTTGAGTGCTTTTTTAAATCTTGAGTTCTAATTTGATTACACTGTGGTCTGAGAGACTGTTATGATTTCTGTTTTGCATTTGCTGAGGAGTGATTTACTTCCAATTATGTGGTCAATTTTGGAGTAAGTGCAATGTGGTGCTGAGAATAATGTGTATTCTGTGGATTTGGGGTGGAATGTCCTGTAAATGTCTATTAGGTCCTCTTTGTCCATATCTGTGTTCAAGTCCTAGATATCCTTGTTGACTTTCTGTCTCATTGATCTGTCCAATATTGTCAGTGGAGCATTAAAGTCTCCCACTTTAATACTCCACTGACAGGAGTCTAAGTCTCTTTGTAGGAGTCTTTGTGCAGGAGTCTAAGTCTCTTTGTATGTCTTTAAGAATTTGCTTTATGTATCTGGTGCTCCTGCATCGGATGCATAAACATTTAGGATAGTTAGCTCTTCTTGTTGCATTGATCCTTTTACCATTATATAATGCCCTTCTTTGTCTGTTTTGATCTTTGTTGGCTTAAAGTCCATTTTATCAGGGACTAAGATTGCTACCCCTGCTTTTTTCTGCTATCCATTTGCTTGGTAAATCTTCTTCCATCTCTTTATTTTGAGTCTATGTGAGTTTTTGCATGTGAGATGAGTCTCCTGAATACAGCACACTGATGGGTCTTGACTTTTTATCCAGTTTGCCAATCTGTGTCTTTTGATTGGGGTGTTTAGGCCATTTAATGTTATTAATAATAATAACATTAATTATTCAATGTTAATATTGTTATGTCTGAATTTGATCCTGCCATTTTGTTGCTGGCTGGTTGTTTTGCCCATTAATTGATGTGGCTCCTTCATCGCATCATTATTCTTTACCATTTGGTACATGTTTTCAGTGGCTGGTCCTGATTATTCTTTCTCTGTTTAGTTCTTCCTTCAATAGCTCCTGTAAGGCAGGTCTTGTAGCAACAAAATCTCTCAGCAATTGCTTGTCCATAAAGGACTTTATTTCTCCTTCACTTATGAAGCTTAGTTTGGCCAGATATGAAATTTCTGGGTTAAAAGTTCTTTTCTTTAAAGATGTTGAATATTGGCCCCCACTCCCTTCTAGCTTGCAGGGTTTCTGCCGAGAGATCCACTGTGAGTCTGATGGCCTTCCCTTTGTGGGTGACTCGACCTTTCTCTCTGGCTGCCCTTAGGATTTTTTCCTTCATTTCAACCCTGGTGAATATGACAACTATGTGCCTTGGAGTTGCTCTTCTTGAGGAATATCTTTGTGGTGTTCTCTGTATTTCCTGGACTTGAATATTAGCCTGCCTTCTTAGGTTGGGAAAGCTTTCTCAGATAATATCTTGAAGAGTGTTTTCCAATCTGGATTCATTCTCCCTGTCACATTCAGGTATGCCAATCAAGTGTAGATTAGGTTTTTTCACATAATCCCATAGTTCCTGGAGGCTTTGTTCATTTCTTTTCACTCTTTTTTTGCTAATCTTGCCTTCTCGTTTTATTCATTGATTTGATCTTCTATCTCTGATATCCTTTCTTCTGCTTGATAGATTCAGCTGTTGAAACTTGTGCATGCCTCGTGAAGTTCTCATGCTGTGTTTTTCAGCTCCATCAAGTCATTTATGTTCTTCTCTAAGCTGGTTATTCTAGTTAGCATTTTGTCTAACCTTTTTTCAACGTTCTTAGTTTCTTTGCATTGGGTTAGAACATGGTATTTTAACTCAGAGAAGTTTGTTATTACCCATTTTCTGAAGCCTGCTTCTGTTGATTTGTCAGATTCATTCTCTGCCTTTTTTTGTTCCCTTGATGGTGAGGAGTTTTGATTCCTGGGAGGAGAAGCGGTGTTCTGTTCTTTGGTGGTTTCATCCCCTTTTCGCTGGTCTTTTCCCATCTTCTTGGATTTGTCTCCCTTTAATCTTTGAAGTTGGTGATTTCAGGAGGAGTCTTGAGGGGACTTTTTTTCTGTTGAGGTTGGAGCTGTACCTTTTTTGGCCTGTAGAGGGCGTCGCTGGGCTCTCCCGGGTTCAGTCAGGTTGCTGGGTGGGTGGTCCTTCCCTGGGGGTTTGTTTGCAGGTGAGATGGCCCCGCCTTCCCCATGGCGGCTCTCCCAGAGCTGGAGCTTCCTGGTTGGGGTCAAGCTGATGTATTTGCTGCCGAGCTCTCTAGCGAGCTTCAGTGTGAGTTCTGTGGAGGTGGGACCTGCCAGGCCTTATGGTCTGTTTCCCTGTTTTCAACTCTGCCTCCCTCTGTGGGACGGTCCGTCCCGCTGGCTTAGTCCAAACTCCGCCCGGGTTCCTGCAGCAACCTGCCCGCGCCGGGAGGTAACAGATTTACATCAACTACCCAGGGCCCCCACCACCTGGCAGGGCCCCTGTGGACTGTGGGCTACAGGAGGGATGAGGCAACCACAGGATCTGAAACGGAGCACCAAAGGGTTAAGTCCCCCAAGCCTCTGAGCCGGCTGCACTTTTCAGGTGGGGACACGCCCCTCCCGTCTGGATTCGCTCCACACCCCTCACCCCCACCCCCGCGGCTCCTTCCCTGGGCCCAGTTCCAGTGCCCTGTCAGTCCCACAGAAGAGAACCCCAAACCTCGTTTAGAACCGTGAAGTCCAGCCCTCTGCGTCTCATTAGCTGGGAGCTGCTTTCTGGCACTGGCTTCTCTCGGCCATCTTGGCGCCCACATTCATAAACATTATTTTAAAGGAGCACAGGATTGTTTAGCCCACAAACCATGGTTTACTTAACTATTCCTTTGATGCTGAATTTTGACTGACTTGAATTTTCCCTCGTAAAGAATAGTTCGTGCATAAAATGTTTGTGGTATAACCTCACATCACATGAGTGCCTATTGTAATGATCGCTACTCTAAAACATCAATGGGCTCTTGGGAAGGACCATACCGTTTGTTTTAACCCCAAATTCTTTTCAGCCGAATTGACATGGCTACAACCAAATCCCTAATTATTTCAATTTCACATTTCAATTCCTTTTACCTCAAAACTCCTACCAAGACCCTAAGAAGAGGGGGAAAAGAAAAGAACCCCAAATACACACCCCTACCATGATGGGGAGTCCAGCTGTCCATCCCAGTCTGGGAAAGCAGACTTCTAAGTACTCTCCCCTGCTGATAAGTGGAGGACAAAGGAAAACAGTGTGAGTCCCTTCATGTGGCATGGGGGAGTGTCCAGAGTGAGGCCGTGGACTGTTAAACTCAGAATAAGCTCTTTCATCATCCAGAGTGGCTCCTCTACTGGCTTTATAAAACAGACCTGGCTGTTGGAGTGGGTACCCAGAGGCTTATCACACTTACAACTTCCAATTACTGTCTCCACAGTTTGTCAAAAGTAAAATATCCTAGCTTTCAGGATCATTCCAGAAGGTGTCTCTCAATGACAAAAAGTTGTCATAAACAGTTTCTTCAGAAAAGAAGAACACAGAGCTAGGAGGCATGAATCCTGGGTCGCAGATCCAGGTGTGCTAATGTGTCTGTTGCTCAGCAATTCAGTTGCGCAGCATGGCTCCAAGACCCCCGTGGCCTGACGAAAAATTGCGATGGAGTCACTTTCAGATAGAAACAGTCCATTCAGACTAACAATTGTAAAAACAAAAACAAACCAACATAAAGAAAACTGCATTCTCTTACTGTGGAATCAGAGGAGCCTGGTGAAATGCCACATAGCTTGCATTATGTATGACATCCGGGGATGCCTGCTTCCACTTCTCTGTTGAGCTGTGTCTCCAACCCCCAAGGTACCCTGAAATAGAACTTGAAACCCTGAGGGTCCTCTCTGGTGTACGCCTCTGTCTCCGCTTCCCCACTGGGAGGCACAGCTATTATTGAGAAACACAGACATCACCATCCTAGCTTCTGGTGCAAGGCTCCACACGGCCACTGTACAGAATCCCCTTCTGACTTGTGGCTATTGTAATCTGACTAGACGAAGAGAACTTTGATTTTATTTCATATTTATTTCACTAACATTAGGAGGAGGCTGGAAACTGCTACATAGAAAGTCTGCCCAGGAATAGAATTTTGACACATATGCAGCAATGTTCTCTAGATTCCACTGCTACCTTCTGCACCAGCTTCATATCCTTCTTTCCCCCTTTACAGGGCCAGTTTATGCAGAAATGATCAACAACCTCCTGGGCCCTCTGGTTGAAGCCAAGGACTGCACTTTAATCCGACACAACGTGTTCCACGCCCTGCCCAACACTGCCAATACCCTGATCGGCCGAGCCGCTCACATCGCTGTGCTGGATTCAGAACTCTTCCTGGAGAAGTTTTTCTTGGTGGCAGGACTCAACTACTTCAAGTAGTGGCTTTGAGGGAGCAGGCCTTGGGTAATGCTTGAGATAGGTGGAGAGCTTTAACTAAGACCTGCTTTTACAGACCTCACCATTTCAGAATGAAGATCAAGGGAACAGCACTGAGGGATGGAGGCTGGGGTGGAACCTGATGTGAGAGGTGTTTTTGTTTTGGAGATTTGGGAAAACTGAGCAAACAGACTAAATGACAACAAACTGTGTGAATTTGTGTAGCTGCCTGGAGTGTCATTCAAGATGCTTTCTAGGAAAATGTGAGAGAATAAACAGAATACTTGGGAGTTGGTGAGCTCCCCTTGCTAGCCACTACTGGCTCACTGAGAAATGACTCCAATTTAACTAGACTTGCCCAGTATGTTACTAGCTTATAGCTTTATCATTTCTGATTAAATTAAGTACACACAAGCATTTCAGAACTCAGGTTAATCTCTGTGCAGAAGTGGAACATATTTGTGTAAATAGAATCCTCAATAGATTCAAATGCACCAATTATTCAAGAAAATGTGATGCCCATACTCATATTTTCTCTTTACATTTTCCAAACGAGAGCAAGGAATGCATTACAAATCCCAGTTTTGTTTCATAACAGCAGTGAGCAGGGTGACTTAAGGTAAAGAGGGATAAAGGCGATACTATTGTTAAATACAAGTTTGTTACAGAAAAACATGACTCTAAGAACATACTGAACTATGAATAGTTGCTCCACCTACTTCCCCAGACTTTTTCTTTGGATGCAGAGCCCTGATCCACAAATTACTTTAGTGATTGCTTACATCTTTGTCTGTAGTAGGGAACATGAGTGAGACTAACCTAGCAGAAGGGGGCACTGAGATGAATGCACACACATATGAAGCTCCTGCTGATATACTTCCAAAGATATGCTATGTTAGCATTCAATTCAACTGCAAAAAAATCAAAACCATTAACATGGCCAGCTGCTTCTCCTCTCCATGGAAGGAGAAAAACATCTAAATGGAGGAGTGCTGGATTAAAACCTCAGGGGAGCTCTAAGAAGGGTGCTGGTTATCTTTCAATAGAAATGTCTTCTTGCCTTAGGAAAATAAAGGGCTAGGAAAGGTCACTGTGTTGATAAAAACCAATAGATGACAGGGACAAAAGTGAGATCGGATAGGAGGAGAACATCCAGACTGAAGATTCAACACAAACTGTTATTGGAAAGTGACTCAAAGGGAGTTTTGAAAATTACTAGGATGTTTAATGGTAAGGTCTCAAAGACTGAGTGTGTTGTGTAGGCTATAGGAAGCCTAAAGGATCATTTAGTTGTATGGAATAGATTAATGAACCTGGACAGTAGGGCTAAATAAGACAGGAGCCTCATCTTTTGGAGATGAAATCTCCCTGCTTCTGCAAAAAAAAAAAAAAATCTCTTCTGAAGTGTGGAAGCACACCTAGGGCCAGGTTTCTCAGTACCTGAGCCATTACTCTAGGTCACTGATGCCATGGTAACAAAACCAAGTAAATTAAGCTCATCTGAGAATTTTAGATCCTCTTATAGTAACTGTGACTTTGAAAACTAAAAGCAGACCAGGGGAAATGAGTCCAGATTGGCAAGTTTGCAGGAGAGTAGGTAGACATGTGGGATTCTTTAAAAAAAAAGGGGGGGGCAGGGGAGGGTTGCTGGGGGAGAGTTGAATGTTTGCAAAGGCACACTTGCACACATGGATTTAGAGTTTCTCAGTGGGTCTTTTCTGAATGCTTGTTATATCCTGGTCATAATGCATTTGAGTTCACTAAGTTCCCTAGTCACTTTCCACTGGGAATTTTTGTCAGGGTTCAGAGCTGGGCATAGACTCTGGTTACTCATGAGGAGTGCTGTATTTGCTCTGACACCTGGGAGACATTTGATCCCTAGTCTTGCAGCACCTTGTTTTCTGACCCAGGCAAGTGCTTGTGCTCAGTACAGGACCATAGGTTGGTAATAGTTTCTCCTTTCTGGCCAAATGATGGGCCCTGTCCCTCTGATGAGTACATTTAATGTTGTATTTCCAGTTTTCATCAGCAGTGTTTGTCATTCCCTGGTCATTTGAAAGACTGTGTCGTCCGTGGTTATGGAGCCAGGATGAATCTGATGATCATCACCTTTTCCAATAACCAGATACCATTTTTAACTTCAATATGCTGTCTGGACATAGTGAGAACTAATGGCAATAAATGTCCAGCTGCATGGTGCACCTCTTTTTTATAGGGGTGCTCTGCTGTCTTTGTAAACCCTCTCTGGCCTCTGAGCATCTATTATAATTGTGTAGAAAGTACATCTCTATATTGTAAATAAGAGTGTCAAGTGTTGCGTGTCATGCCTCATTTGGAAAGGCTTTTTTATGTCTCTTTCTATCGAAATATAGATATCTAATATATAAATATATATACATAAAATATATATAAATATATATTATGTAAAACAGGGACATTCTATTATTGATTGTAAAAATTATAAACAAAATGCCTGCCAAGATAATGGTCCAATATGTCTTCATTCTCTGCGTAATTTTTGTTTTTGTTTTTATGAGTTGTTGTTTCTCCAAATGAGATAGAAATAAAAATCACCAATATTGAGATTAATTGGAATTTGTTGCTAATGAGCCAAATAAATCCAGGGAAGCAGATTGGAACCTCAGGTCATCTTGGGGCAAAACAAACACCCCAATGGCAGTTTGAAAGCAGAGGGAGTACTGTGAACCTGAGAAGGTGAAGAGAGAAAAGCCCCCTGTTGGCTTCTACAATCCACAAGTATTTGCAGAGCAGCTTCCATCCATCTGTGCCAGATGGGAACACCGAGGTAAAATACACAGTCCCTGCTCACAAGGAACTGGAGGGAGATGCAGTCTTATTATTACAATGGAATATAACAAAACCTCTGAGGAAGGCAGGGCCAGTGCTCCTTGGCCCTAGGCATTCACTCCTTATTGCCTGGGGAAGGTCAGGAGGGAAGCCTTGAGAGTGAGACTTGAATGGTAGGACTATTTACCTTGCACCTGTGTCACCCCAGGGTGCAGTCTTCCATTATGTCATTCATTTATTCATCTGGCAAGTCTGTCCTGAGGACCTGCCTGCTCTGTGCCAGGGATCCATCCACTGGTAAAATTCAGTAGCTCACTGTCTAGCAAGGAACACAGCTGATCAAATGGGAAATCAAAGTGGGTGGCCCCACAGAGGAGGTATGGTCCTGTGTGTGCTCAGAGAAGGGGCATCCATCTACAGGAGGGATGTGGGGGAGAGCTGGTCAGAAAAGTGCTCCAGGAGGGCTTGGCATCTAAGCCGAGACCTGGAGACTGAGGTGGAGCAGGCTTGGTGAAGGTGGAATGTGTGGATCCCTCCAAGAGGGGACAGAATGAGCAAAGGGCTTCATGTGAGAGCAGAAGGCAGGGAACCTTTGGCCACTGCAAAGGCAGATGGAGAATATGTTTGAACACAAAAGCAACCAAACAGAAGTGTGAGAAATCAGCTGCCATGCAGGATTTTCTTCTTAGGAGTAAATTTCCATTGTTGGCCAGGCGCGGTGTCTCAAGCCTATAATCCCAGCACTTGGGAGGCTGAAGCGGGTGGATCATGAGGTCAAGAGATTGAGACCAACCTGGTCAACATGGTGAAACCCCGTCTCTATTAAAAAATACAAATACAAAAATATTAGCTGGGCATGGTGGCACGTGCCTGTAATCCCAGCTACTCAGGAGGCTGAGGCAGGAGAATTGCCTGAACCCAGGAGGCGGAGGTTGTGGTGAGCCGAGACCGCACCATTGCACTCCAGCCTGGGTAACAAGAGTGAAACTCCGTCTCAAAAAAAAAAAAAAATTCCATTGTTAACACTAGCAAATGTCCACTTGGTAATGAGAGCCCCTGCAAGACCAGGACCTGCCCCTGTGGTCATGTCCCTCTCCACACTTCACCCTCTGGGAAATATCTGATCCCTCCTGTCTTGGGAGAAGTCCAGCCACATGCTTCACCATCACTCATTTCTGAAATTTTCCTTTGAGAAGCATAGTAGACATGTCTGGTGGTCTTCTCATGGAGAAAACTCTAACAAATGGCGCCATATAAACAAGCTAAGAAGAGGGAATAGTCATTTGGTTAAAATTATTTTTTATGCATGGAAGCAATCAAATGAAACTCTTATATTGGTATTTAAGGTGACACACAAACTGCTAACTTTTTTTTTTTTTCCTAGATGGATTCTCACTCTGTCGCCAGGCTGGAATGCAGTGGTGCGATCTTGGCTCACTGCAACCTCTGACTCCCTGGTTCACGTGATTCTCCTCCCTCCACCTCCTGAGTAGCTGGGATTACAGGCATGCACCACCACACCCAGCTAATTTTTGTATTTTTAGTAGAGACGGGGTTTCACCATGTTGGGCAGGATGGTCTTGATCTCCTGACCTCATGATCTACCCTCCTAAGCCTCTCAACATGCTGGGATTACAGGTGTGAGCCACTGCACCCAGCCCATAAGTAGTCATGTGCATAGAGAGACGCCATCATCTTCATCATCTTATGCAGTGAGAGTCAACAGGAAAAAATTTGTACAGCAAAGCATTATTTAATCCTCAGCATACAGTTAAGCAATCTGCAGACCCCAGGAGATTGGGGTAACTTCATTAAAACTACAGTCCTTCATTTGGCCCCAAATGTTTCCTAATAGCCTGTCATGAGCCAGGGGTTGGTCATAAAGCTAAAATAAAATAATCATCCCATCCTGATGGAGGGTATATGCAAAAGGAATGTAGACAGTGCAGAAAGTTACCAGCACAGTGAGTGTGGCCAAGGCCATGTCCAGAAAGAGCTATGGGAGGAACCAGTAGGGATATCACCCTTGTAGTACATGAATGGCAAAGAATATAACAGCACATAACCCAGGCATTTCTGTAAAGAAGAAAAAAAGTCTTTAAAAGTGTCACAAGGTGATGAGTGTTTAGTTGGCTCTCACTGTGTAAGATGATGAAGATGATGGCGTCTCTCTACGCACATGACTACTGAATTGAAAGCTTACATTCAAATATCTGCAAGCCCCTGAATGTAACTGCCACTTTTTTTTTTTTTTTTTTTTTTTTTTGAGACGGAGTTTCACTCTTGTTACCCAGGCTGGAGTGCAATGGTGCCATCTCAGCTCACCGCAACCTCCGCCTCCTGGGTTCAGGCAATTCTCCTGCCTCAGCCTCCTGAGTAGCTGGGATTACAAGCACGTGCCACCGTGCCCAGCTAATTTTTTTGTATTTTTAGTAGAGACAGGGTTTCACCATGTTGACCAGGATGGTCTCGATCTCTTGACCTCATGATCCACCCGCCTCGGCCTCCCAAAGTGCTGGGATTACAGGCGTGAGCCACTGTGCCTGGCCTTTTTTTTTTTTTTTTTCCATGCCATTAGCTTTGGTTTCACAGCATATATTGCTGAGCATTAGAAATAACGAGGGCTATGAGGGACAGTTGTGGGAGTGCTGAAAGAAGAAGTGTGGCCATGATACAAAACCATGGTTATGCTTTCTGTTAGTTTTCTTGCCAGGCACCATCTCAGTATAGCATTACATGTTAGCATCTGGATCTTTTTTCTTTTCTTCAGTTTTTCACTTACTTATTCTTTACGTGTTTTATTGAACATCTGTTTTGTGTTAGGTACTGTTCTAGGCCATGTAGATGAACATAAAGCATATAATCCCAAACACTAAAAGGATCTGGGATAATGATAAAACTTAGTTTTTACTTTTAACTGTTAGCATCTAAAATAATGAATATCAGACTTGGAAGAGGAAAAATGGGCTGCTTAATATAGACTCCATCTGCTGTCTAGCATCCTCAACTGTGCTCTCCCAGCTCCACTTGACCAGACAGGTCTTGATCTACGTATGGCAAAGCACAGTCATTGTGGTGACATACACACACACACACACACACACACACACACACACTTTCTAAATGCAGATAAACCACCAAGGAGATTTTTCAAAATCTTTAAGATACCATTCTCAGGATTTTTGTACTTCTTTCTCCCTTTCCTCCTTCATTTATCAATTTTACTTTTTTCTTTACTTGTTTCTAGCTTTATTTTCCATGGCACCTGTGCAATTGTGCATGATGCTAGTTAAGTCTCAATAGAAAACACTATGGAAAATTTGGAAAAGAGGAACTCTCCCCAGTGCTTTTTATGTTGAATGGCAATAATGCAGTATGCAAGAATACAGAGTTCTCAGTGCACAAAGTCTCTAAGCCAATTTTAATTTTTGGGAAAAGGATCCCGGTGACTTCTGTTACACAAGAGAAAACCAGAATCTACAGAACTGAGCTTTTAGGTCAAATGTAAATGTATGGATGTTGCTGAATAGTGTCTTGTGAACCATTAAACCTGGTTATTTCTCTATATTTGATCTCTGTATGAGTAAATTATAAAGTCTGTGCGTATCTGTTTCACAGATGTGGTTGTGATTAGAGGACTTTCAGAAAACAGTCCTCAAACCCCAAACTTTGTGTCATCACAAAATCAGAAACTCTTACAAGTAAAACAAACCTGGACTCTCATCTATCTAATTTTTAACAAATGAAGAAGAAAAGAAATGGAAATAACCTACAGTATTTGAATATGTTGGCTAGATTTTTCCATATATGGTTTCATTTAATCCCACACAACATGTAAATGATGCTGGCAGAGGTCAGGTAACTTGCCTACAGTTACGCAGCTTAGCAGTGGTAGAGTCAAGATTTGAACTTCTAGCCTTCATTTTATCTTTTATTCTATGATTCTTCCAACCCAGAGTTACTTAGTTGTAAAGGTCACATGTTGTGTTAAAATCAAAGCCGATGTTCAAGCCCATGTTTCTAAACCATAACCTTCTGAGCTTTCTATTGTAATATAGTCTCATATAAGACATCTATATAACCAATACATTAAACAGCAAGAAAAACTTATTCAGTGACAAAGCTGGTTTTACAAAACATTGTCAACAGTGTAATTGGTTGAACTGTTCTGTTCTTTGCTAATCTTCTGTGTTTCTCAGATCCTCTTTCCTCCTAGTAACCCAGAGTTCCTTTTCCAAAACCACACACCTTTCTTTCCACAGCTGTCCCAGGCCATGCTCTTCCTTCCATATTTTATCAAATTCTACAATTCTCACAATGCAATGGCTGATCATATTCATCCAGATTCATTCCCTTTACTATAAGGTTTGAATCTGCAATAAATGGTTCCTAGATTGTAGACTCTTGCTTCTGGATGAATCTGAGCTCCGTGCTTCTCCATCAGAGCTAGGTTTTCTCACGTTCCCATTAACCCACTCTTTTCTCATTTCTCATCACATATTTATCTGTGACCCTATAGATCTCTCGCCTATGAGTATATTTTCCTCGAGAGCAGAAACCATGTCTAAGTTGTCCAGTACACCTGGTCCTGCACACACTGCCTGGCACAGAGTGGGTGTTCAATATTTCTTTGCTGAGAGCGTCAATCCTCTGAAAGCTCGTGTTTTCTCCCCAGCCCCTCATGTCATCCACAGCACGTGACCATAATGCAGAAAGAGTTTGGCATTGGCTCGTGTTCACTCTCTAAGCTTCTGAGTTTGCAAGAGGAGTTTCTTAAGCTATCACAGTGGAATTGAGTGTAATGGGAAGCATCATTATATCTTTAGGCATCAGTTTCCTTGGAAAGGCTTGGAAATAGCTAATTGAAATGTAGTTCAGGGGTATGAACAAGATAGGAAAAGCAGAGATCTGGAACAGTGCCTGTTATAGAGTGAGCATTGAAAAGTTTGGGGAGTGGCTTGGGAATGTAGCAAAAGGTTGCTTATAGGGAAGTATCTTTGAAATCAACAAATTAAGAGATTTCTTACATGGCTTTAAAGTGATTCATACATGACGGCTTCTGGGAGATTACTTGGTTTGAATCTTTGGGCTTAAACTTCCATCAGAACATTCCACTGTAACTCCACAAGCTTCCAGACTGGATATTTTTATGTTAAATCAGTGCATGATTGAGTGATTCATGTCACACAACTATTTTTCTGTTTAGGGTACATTGTATGCCATTGTTAAGTTGAGAGTTGAGAAAAGGCTACATCTTGACACATAGCTGGGAACAGTGTTACATCTAATCTAAGGTCTTTGAAAGATTTGCTTCTGTAAATGTCACTCAGAATCCTTTGTATTGTATCAAACTGTAAAGATATATTGAGATGTCCTTTAGCTCTTGGGACATTTCCATAAGCAATAAGTTTCACAATAAGTTAAATACCCTGCTTATTATTCTTGCCCTGAGAAAGAAAGCTGAATAATAATCAAGGTGCATCTGATATCCTATTCCTCTATCTCTGCATATATGCAGAGATATCTATCTAGGATATCTATCTATATCTATCTATATATGCACATACATACACACACACATACATTTCCTTTTAAATAGTGCACTTGATCCAAAAATACTTTCTTCTCTGTATACAATGTAACATTAGAGTCTATGATTTTATTTTCATTTGCAATTTTCTTATAATTCATATTAAGTACATTTATTTTTTAAAATGTTTAGCATCTGCTTCACTCTGTGCTAAGCACTGGTTGTTACAGAAATTAATTAGATGTGACTTTGCTATTCAAGAATTTGTAATCTAGTTTGGGGAGAGGATGGCCGCATTCATAGTGCAGGACAGATTAATGAGGCAAGAGAGCAAGTGAAAACGTTGAGACAGATATCATCCTGGTATCTCCAAAAGGAAATCACATCCCTGGTATAGGGGTTTTGGCTTCTCATCTGGGTCTAGAAGTGGAAATCTAGTCCAGATGTGATGCTACCGTGACACCAGCCACACCATTTGGGTAGGATTTCAATGCTCCATTGGGCCACCATCCCCAGATCAGTGCCAAGATAGGGAATGTACAAAAAGAGAGAGTAAAAGGGGCAGATTACAAACCAGTTCATCAAGAAGCACCTCCCCCATCTGTAATACAAAGTCTGGATCCTCAGTAACTAATCATAACATTTTTCCAAATTAATAGACAGAACCAGATCACTGAATAAATAAAAGACACCAATAGTGTCCATAGGCATGCTCACGCTTTGACTTGGCCAAGGGAACCAGCCTGGGGCTTATGTCTATTGATCACACAGGGCAGGGCTCTGTAATTTCTTTTCTTCTATTATTTTATTTTCAGATGTGACCTCCTACATTGTAGAAGGCAAAGAGAGGCAGGATCTTTTGTCATGGTCTCTTTCTCTGAAAAAGAAACTGAATGTATAGCTTGATGCCACTGTGAATCCTAATGCATATTTATTCTGTGACAGTATTTGTATACAATAATTACGATCTCCTGCACTCTTGCAAATTGTCTGTGAAACAGCCATCGTAGTAATTAAAAAGTCATTAGTGCCAATACAATTCTACTATTTTTCTACATCTGTTTTTTGGTTGGCATTTTGTGTAACTTGTGATGTGTATTAATGACGAACAACAATAATAAAAGAAAATCCTTTGACCTTCTTTTCCCAAGACTTTATGTTTATGGAACACATAGTAGCCACTCTTTAGGAATGCAGTCAGGGCAGAAGGAGCTACTTCAACATTTCGTCAGAGGACGCATGGCATATGGCTTTTATCTTTGGGAGACACCCTTTAGAAAGGACCCAGGGTGTGCTGGAGTGGCTGACAGAACAGGAGAGAACTCCTAACTAGATCCTGGGAGGACTGGGTAGGGAGTGGGATGTATTATTTAGTGAACTAAGGACCTGGTCTTCATGTCTATGTTCAGTGCACCCTGATTACTCAGAGTTTCTAACAATCAAAGCTGCTCATCCAACATGCACCTGGAAGAATAGGCTCTGGTCTCTAGACAGTGGCTTTGCTGGATGTGTCTAGTTGACTGGAAGAAGCATGTAACAGGAGGGTCCAGGCCATTGTTTTCTGCTGTCCTGAAAGCACATGTCATGATCAGCATCTATCCACCGCTCGTTTCCAATAGAAACCACCCGTGATTACAACCCCTTCTAGGAAAGGAGGCCCTGGGCTGTTCTGCAGTCCCTGTGGCATGGTGTCTGCATCACTTGACCCAACGACCCCCCCGGACTGTAGCTCGTAGGACCAGGGATGGACAACTAAGCCAAGCACAGAGTTTCCGTAAACCAGTCAATGACCTGTGATAGACAGAAGAGGAATGGAGAAAATTGACCAAACTCTTAATGATATCTCCAGAAGCTAAACTGGAGAATGTAGTGACCATCAAGTTTGTGTCGTAGGAGGAGCAAAAGGGACTCAATCTGAACATGCCTTTGAGTCACTGTCAAGCGGAAGTGGGGAGCTAGTGAGAGGCAGTTCTAAATGCAGAGACCACCCGGTGACCATCCCTTGCAGCTTCCTTAGATTCCTAACTTCTGCCTCTGTGAGATCACAAGAAGCCATAGTCCTATGCCTTCTCAGTGGCACCAAGGATTTTGTATCTGAGTTCAAAATCATGTGAATTAGAGTAAAAGGTGTAAGCTCAAAGTATCTGTTTAAACACATATACTTACCAATTTTAAGGGTTTTTTTTTTGTTTTGTTTAAAAAAAGACCTTCTACATACTTGTTTCAGTTAAGTCTGTGAAATAGAGAAGACAAATATTGTTTCCCCAAACTTAGAGACAATCTGAGATCCAGGGAAGCTAAGGAATTTAACCCTCAATTTCCAAGACAATTACTGACGAAGAGACTTAAATGTGGCTCTAATCTTATCCAAATATTTTAAGAGTCTACAGAACCTGGAAGTGATGTATAAAGTGCTGGGTAAAGGCACATTGTGGCCTTGTCACAGGTGACAAATGATGCACGTGCTGATTCTCTTCTTAGGTGCCCACCAAGCTCTGTGAGCCAGGCGCATCTGATGGGTGAGGTGCAGAGTTGTAAGTGTTGGACCAAGATTGTGTTACCAATAAACATACAAAACCAGCATTCCCGCTCCAGTCTCCTCTCTAGGTCTAGTAGTGTCTTCCATTCCAATATTCATGGAGATGCAGTTGAAGTTACTCTTACAGTGACTGCTGCCTAGGAGTAGCATCCCCAGGGAGGACAGGAAGTCTTGATGGGGAAGCAGGAGGGGCCCCAAGCACCAAGTGAATGGAGTAGATATGGGGGACATTTTGAACGAATTTCACAGTTTTCCTCAGGTCTTCTATTTCAGAAATCCTTAAGCCACCAAGTAAACATGATATGCAGGGATGTGTGCAGGGGCACATAGGTACAATAGTGTTCACTGGACACTCAGCACATGCCAGACAGCAGGCCAGGCAATTTCTTAATCCTACAAGCCAGCATCGTGATCCATATCTTACAGCTGAGCGGGTTGTGCTCCAGCAGCTAGAGTTCACACAGGAGACTGGGTTGATCTCTGAGGCTCTTCGTCTTCCCCACATAATTGCCAGCAAGACCTGGATTCATCTGACCCCTTGTAACTTCTCCCACCTAATCTGCTTCACTCCCCTGTACTCTTCTACTTCCTCTTCATCTTCTCCCGTCGAGGCCTGCAGTTTCTTTGGTGGTCCTTGAGCGCATGAGCATGCTACTGTCTCAAAGCATTTGCATGGCAGTTCCCTCTCCCGGAGGCTCCTCCTCCAGGGAGCTGCAAAGCGCACTCCTTCTCTGTATCCTGATCTTCATTTCACAGTCCTTCTCAGTCAGGATTTCCCTGGACATCTGATGAAACATCTTACTGCTCCCCATCTCTGCCCTAGAAGCTGCATAGCCTTCTTCCTGCTTCATCTTTTCTCCTTGGCATTTACCATCATCCACCTTACTCCCTGTTTTATTTATCTTACTGGTGGATGGTCTTTCCTCGATAGTGTGCCGGCTCCATGAAGGGAGTGGGTTTGTTTTTCTTTGGGCAAACATTCAGAAGCTTTCCACTTCTGAATTCCAGTGCCCTGGCACATAGTAGGCCCTTAATAAAAATTTGATGAATGACTGTGTATCTGACACACAGTAAATGAATATTAGCTAACAAATCCCTAATCCTGAGTTCCTTTTGCTGGAACACACTCCCACCTTCCCACCCGAGGCTTCTGCTTGAAGTGGTTCTGTCTAAACACAGGAATCCCCTCCAGTGCTTTCCGATTATCCGCCCTTTCCACCCAAGGGAAACACACTATTTATTGCTGCCTATGACTGGAAATGTAGCCCAGAGGGAGAAGCCTCCCTGCGTTTTATTCCTTGAGCAGAGACAGAAATTCATAGGGCCTGCAGGGGGCGCCCAAAGCCCAGCAAATAGCAGAATGCTCACGGAAGCTCAGAGGACTGGAGCTCCTGCTTCCTAATGTTCTCTGCTTGGAATTTGAGCCAGAAAAATAGAAGATGGTGTTATCAGTTTGTTCCTACACTGCCAATAAAGACATACTGGGACTGGGTAATTTATAAAGGAAAGAGATTTAATTGACTCACAGTTCCACAAGTCTGGGGAGGCCTCACAATCATGGTGGAAGGCAGGTGAGGAACAATGGCACGGATTACATGGTGGCAGTCAAGAGAGCTTTGTGCAGGGAAACTCCCATTTAGAAAACCATCAGATCTCATGAGGCTTATTCACTACCATGAGAACAGCATGGGGGAAACGGCCCCCTTGATTCAATTACCTCCCACTGGGTCGCTCCCACAACACGTGGGGATTATGGAAGCTACAATTCAGGATGAGATTTGGGCAGGGACACAGCCAAACCATATCATTTGAGATTTGTTCTTTGGACACAAGAGAGGAGCATGGAGGTTAAGGAATTAGAATCAGTGAGGTTCAGCCTGAGGTCTTAGGATTTTTAGCTGAGATTAGCATGATGAATAAATTTATTCCAGTTCAATTCTCTAACCGTCACTGAGGGGTACTGTGTGTGAGCCACAGGTCTAGTAATGGGACTCTGTGTAGAAATAGCCTGACCCCCTTACTGGATTCAGGCTTTTTACTCAATTATCAGCTAGAAAGTTGCCTTCTTAGAAAGGGATGGCCAGGTTCTCCTCTGAAAGATGGTATTAAATAATTATATTTAAAGGGAACTCCGCTGCTGTCTGTAGCGGCAATGATGTAATCTGCAGGAGATTTGTGGGAACCATTTATTCTTTCAAGGTACAATTATTTATTGAGAACCTATAATGTCCCAGGCTCTGTTATAAGTACTTGAGATGGTCGGTTGCCCAAACAGACAGATCCCTGCTATGATGAAGCTTACATTCCAGTGAGGGACTTATGCATTGACCACATACAACAAATGAAGACAAGTGTTTGATTTTTATTATTACTGTGTACTCCAGGAAGTTTTCTCAGCTGCCCAGAATTGTAATTCTTTTTTTCTCTTTTCTCTATAATATTCTGTATCTGTGTCACAGTCCACACCATGCTGGTCCTAATAATATTATTGGTCAACCCCTCTAAATCAACCTTTCCTCACTTTTCTCATCTATAAAACAGTAGCAGTAACTCTGTGTACCCTGTGTATCTTACACAGCTTCAGGGAAATCCAGATCCTCACTTCTTAGCCAATGACCTCGGCCCTCTTTGTCCTTTCGTTTTCTCTTGGAGGCCTCTATTGATCTGTCCCCATGAGATTCCCAGGGGGTGCTAAGGCTGTCTGATCCAGTTGCTCCAAGATCATGGACAAAGTCAGAGAATAAAAAAAGAAATACATTTTAATAGAAATAAGCAAGTAAGGCAAATTTATGCCCCAAATCTACCCCTTTTAGGTCTGCAGTGCCCCTTCCCCACCCATTAAAAATATTATATAACATACGATTTCATCAAACCTCACAGACAGCTCTATCAACTAGCAAAACAGTCTCCAGCTTCACATTGTATTTACACTAAGGATGGGTAAGCAACAGTTTTATGCTCGACTAACATGTTGTAAAACAAAGATGCATTGTAACCCCTTCCTCTGTCTCCACCTCCACCTGAGGGAACTGGAGTCTCCATCTGCAGAGTTAGAAAACTAATGTGATTTAGGAGGACACCCTCCAGACTCCCTGAACATCATTCCCTACTCAGACAAGTCTCCACAGGTTTTATGTGTGTGAAACATTGTTAACATTCTTGCCTCTTGAGCTATTCTGTAAATATGAGTGCTTCTTTCTTACTTTCCCATTATTCATGTAGAGAAACTGGGACCCAAAGATACTGCAAGGTGACATAATGTGCAAAGAGCTCTAGGGACACATAGGCAACAAGAGCAATGATGCTTAGGGGAGGTGGGATGAGGGAAGTTATAATGAGAGGGAGATTTGGCTGGATGGTGAACAAAGATCCAGAGTTTTCCAGATATGGGATGGAGGGAGGAGGAGCTGACAGAGCAAACAGCCTATGCAAAGGCAGGGGCACAGGTGTGCAGGAACGCATCTGGGGATTGACACGGGCTGCCTTATGCTTAGGGAGGAGGGAGGTTTTGGGGTGGGTCCTGGCTGCAGAAGAAATTAGAAGAGCATCATAAGCACGCTTTTCTGAGCCAGAATAGGAGGAGTGAATAGATATTAT